TCTGTATTATTTTGTATTTTTTTAATATTATGTTCTTTGTTTGAAAAATAATTATTTTTGTTGCAAGTCCATATCATTAGCATAAAAAAGTATCTGGAGGTCACAGGTTCAAATCCAATTTGAAATAAAATCCCCTTGTGACCATGGAGGTTTAAATGCAGCAACTCCAAGCTATATACAAAGCAGATGATCAACCTAGAATTAACCGACTCACATAACTGATTAGATATCCAGATTAATAAATAAATTGTAAACCCCATTACCCATAAAGCCTTGAGGTAAGGTACCTTTTTTTCTCTTTATTTACCTTTTTACCCTCTAGTTTATCTCCAATATCTTTGGTCATCCACTTTTTGTCTTTTTTCCAAAATAAAATATTTCTTGTATTATTTTTAAATTCTAAATTATTTATTTATTTCAAATATAATTCCATTTTTCATTTTATTATTATATTATAAGAACATATTATATTGTTCAAATGAAACCCTGATCTTTTTAATTATTGAAATGAAATTTAAATGCGAATTTTGAACGTTAAATTTTATTGTCGGAGTATTCCTATAAAAGATGCTTTGTTGGCAAGAACGCGTCTACAGACACCAAGATTCTTTTGAAAATAATACAAAAAGCGATACCCTGGTGAGTGAAACTTTTGCCGTTCATTCATTAATATGTTACTGGTCGTAAAACTGAACGATACCCAGATGAGGAATTCGAAATCAAGACTTGTCGGTCGTGTTGAATAAGTCTAAATCACTTGAATTAAATGCCCGTTAAGCCACATACAAGAAGGAATTATCATAGAATATACTTCTAACCGTGAGAAACAGTAGTCGGACGATGTATGGACCACATAAATTTTCAACGAACCACCCGAGTCACCCTTTGTGTCAGGGAATCTTAACACGTTATTCTTTTCTTGAGCATGTGATATCGATTTCTTGAAAGACAAACTCGACCTATTTATAACTTCAGTGTATTTGGTATGTGGGAAAGGACATGAATGACATAACAAAAGCTTTTTTTTTTTTTTTTTTGATTAACCTGGATATCCAACCAGTTATGCAAGCCGACTAATCCCAGAGCGACCACCTGATTTGCAGATAGCCCAGAGTCACCGTATTTGAACCTATGTGGCCATAAAGGGAATTTTTATTCCTTCTTGGATTTGAACCTAGGACCTCCAGGTACTTTTGATATTTGGAGTCAAACTCAAATCAATTAGACACCACCCTTGTGGTTACAAAAACTTATTGTCCCTATATTTGACGCGACATTAGAATGGGACATAACTCGACTGAGTGGAGCAAAATTGCATTTTTTTTTGTCTCATCAAAATAAGTTGAATAAAAACCATATATATATATATATATAATACTTGTGATCACACAAGACCATGAGTTTTTCATGAGACCCGTAAGACCAATTCTCAACATTTGGATTAGATCTACAATCTTAACATTCATAATCACAAAATTGCCACGAGACTTCTCAATAATCACAAAATTGTCATCGTGCAACTTTAGACCATTAGATCATTAGCTTATAAAGTTGATCAATTAACATAAGTTGGTCTTACGGGTCTCACGAAAAACCTTTGGTTTCATATGATCCCAAGTCTATATATATATATGACAAGATTAGTAAACACTAAACTGTTCATGTTAAATCAAAACTGTTACAATTCTGTCATTCACCTACCTTACTCTCGTCCGTTCAATCTAATCATTTATTAATCTTAGTTAAAAACCATTGTGGGCCCACCCAAGTATTTATAAAACCCTTTGATGACTTAAAAGCATGTGTGAAATGGGGGAAAAAAGTGACCACTTATCAAAAGCTTGATAGCTCTCATCATCAAGCTTCATGTTATTCCCAATATTTGACTTCATTCCAGAGACAAGATTGCTAAGTCCAGAGTGATCTATAACTTGTAAAGAAAGAGAATACAAGTGGTTATAACGGTCGTGTTCTGGAATTAGAAATTACGGATCTGGAATATAAGTAAAAAAAAAAAGTGCCATATAAACTGAAGAAGCACTTTTTAAGGGTGATGATGAGTAGATGCTGATGACAACATCACCTTTAAAAAACAATAACAAGGTAAAGGGCAAAAAAGGGATTTTGTCTGACTCATGCTGACGTGTTACTTCCTTAACACTTTGACTCAGCATCTAATGAAGTTGTCATACAGACATCTGTTTGGAAGAATTGGTTCCAATAAGACGGTTAAATATTTGATGTAAAGATAAAAAATATAAATGTTAAAGAGAAGATTCACATGTGAATAATTGAAAAATCTTTAAAGAAATCTATTTGTTGATGCTTATGTTGACAGATGATATTAGACTATTAGTTATTCATATGGGTTCATATATGTATCTTTAAGTGATTCACATATGAATTTAACAGGAAGATCGTTTAACTTGAGTTCATTCCGAAGACACGTTTATAGATGCCCATCGAGCGGTATTCGAGGACATGAAAAGTTTGAATAACTGGAGGACCATGCATTCATCATGCATCTGCGAAACCCAAAATTACGAATAAAAATCACTTGTTTTCAAACTCGATGTCCGTTTCTTGCCCCTGCAAATCAATTGAAGACGTATTATTACTTTATTTTTAAATTTTTTTTATTCTGAATTTGTAATAAAGTAATAATGTGTCTTTACATGATTGATGGATATGAAAAGAACATGTAAACTTTATTAAGAGAAACGAAATTTAAACGTAGAAGTTATGTATTTGGGGACCTGAAACTTATGCCACGATGTTCCAACTTTAGATAGATATTGAGGTAACAAATTTACGATGATGAGTTTGAATCTCATATTTACGTATTCCCACTTGTGAATTACTGGGAATATGTCGATAAAAAAAATATAATTAGGTTATAACAAGTGAGTCAGGTTCAAACAAGAACAATGATCAAATAAAACAATATATGAAAAGTCAATTCACATGTGATTGTACAATAAACTCATGTGTAGAATCACACGTGATTACGCGTGACGTTGTGCACCCATGTGTTGATCATGCTTCATAATCTCTTGTGATTTCAGTGCAAAATCACATGCGATTTGGCCGTTTTTGTTTTATTTTATCTCTACAAGAAAGCTGTGTTTAATTATAGAATGTCAAAAATGTTTGAGCTGTTAATAGACTATTTTATAAGACAAACAATAAAGTGTCATATCTAAAGATGTTGTAATAAGTTTTTAATGACATTTTTATATAATAAAAAAATATCGCAGTAGCTATTTTACAGGACATTATTTTAAAAACTGTCTTATAAAATCAAGTGTCCAATAAAAAGATGTCTTAATACGATGTTTTGTACTAAAGATGTCCTAAAAAAACTACTAACACGTCAAAACGTCATATAAACTTATTATAACACCTTTAGATAAAAACAATAATAAACATTTTATTGTTTGATCCTATAAACTTTAGTCCTATAAAACGATATATTGGGACACCTAGAAATTCTTGATATCTTATAAACCAGATTATATCAAAACATCTTCAACACTTATGCTAAAAATGGAGTAAAAGAAGGAATTTAGCAATTCTTTTGTTTCAACAGCTATGTTATCTTGTATGCTAAAATAGAGAAAAGATGAGAAAAATTGTAAAAATCTCAAAATTTGAAAGAATTTATAAATAGAAAGAGAAATTATTATTTTAATATTTTCCACCGCTAAGAGATTAAGAGGTAAAATAGATGTTTAAAAAAAAATATTTTATTAAATATATTAAATATTTAAATATCATAGTTAATGTTAGAACTACTAAAATAATGTACCTGTTGGAGCTGAATGTAATTTTTTTAAATTTTTTAACTTTAATACTATGTTCTATAGAACATATAACCGGTAGCGGACTTAGGGGACCTTTATCAAACGCTTTACCTTACCGGATAAATATAGTAAGGACCAAGAATCTTACCCGGTAAGTCGGAGACAATGATCGAGAGCCTTACCCGGTAAGTGAGAGCGACGACTCTTACCATGATAAACGCTTACTGGGTAAATTGTTGCATACAATGTTGTTTTAGTGGACTAAAGTTTTACCCGGTAAGTAAGTGGTAATGTTAAATTTTACCGGTAAGTGCTTAAAGTAAGTGTTTGGTAAACGTTCCCTTAGTTAGGAAGGAGTGGGGGAAGGACCCCATTAAAGAACTTTATTACAAGGGTTAAAAGTAGTTTTTTTTTTTTACTTTTCTCTTGGTTCCGCCCAATAAATTTTTTACAAGCGACCCCACAATCCTAGCCGACCATCGTCGACTCCAAAAAAGTCTCTTGAAATCAACAAAAAAACCAAAAGAAGTCTATTGATATCAATCGAAAAAAAATCTTTCGAAATCGACAAAAACACTGAAAAATCCCTTGAAACGTTGTAATTAGGTTAAAAACACGTCGGACGACTTTGTGGACCTTTAGTCTACCTTAAAAGTGACCCCATTAGACAAAAATCTTGGATCCGCCACTGCGTACAATATGCAATAAAAGTTGTACGATGAAGCCAACGGCCACCATGAAAGGCTTTTTGGCGGGAATAACCGTTTAGGTGTGAACTTAAGGTGGTTTCATGGCTCCTTTTTGTGGAATTTTGTTTTAGCTTCACACATACCCCTTTCAACTTTCGGTGTTTTCTTTCTTTTTTTTCCTTTTTTATTTAAATATGGAATCAATCTTCGACTTTTTACCCCCAAAACCTGTATAAAACCCATCGCCATCGCCATTCTTACACCTCCCCTCTTCTCTCATCAACAACTTTTTAAGCTTTTTCCACTGTTTTTGCTTCTGGGTTTTTCAAGAAATCCAATCCAATCCAATCTCTTTGTATTTTGAATTTTGGGTGATAATAATTAAGTTTTGATTTATAAGTTTTAAGAATCCATTGGAGTTTTTGAAGAAGATGATCTTGTTGAACAACGGACGCATTCTATGGAACTTATTTGCAATTGTTGAGAACAAATTATGTGTTGAAAAAAGTTTTTACTTTTGGATTTTTCAAATTTTCAATAGATATAATATGGGTACTACTTAACCTATGATTTCGACGTTGTTGTTGAACTACTTATCGGTCTTATTTTGTTGTATAATTTCTGTGATTTTTGAGATAAAAAGTTTGAATTATGGGTGGAGCGTCATTGCCACCTGGGTTTCGGTTTCATCCAACTGATGAAGAATTGATCGGGTATTATCTTAAAAGGAAGGTTGAAGGTCTTAAAATTGAGCTTGAAGTGATTCCCGTTATCGAATTGTACAAGTTTGATCCATGGGAATTGCCGGGTGAGTTTTAATTTTTGAACTAAATTTGAAGCTTTTGAATGCATTCAAACTGTTTGTTTTTTTGCCTCAATGAAACCCACTTCAATTCTAGTTGATTTGATGGGTTTTTGAGCTTTACCAACCCTTTTTTCTTTTCTATAAAGACAATAATGGAAGATCATGACCCTTTTCAGATCATAAACTTGTTTGAGAATCCTTCTTTTTTAATCTTTAAAGCAACAATGTCAGTTCTTTAATCATAGTATACTTTTTTTTTTTTGGGTGATTCACCAGTTATGGTTTTTTGATTGGTGTAATTTCAGATAAATCTTTCCTTCCAAAGCGCGATATGGAGTGGTACTTCTTTGTCCCACGTGATCGGAAATACCCAAATGGATCACGCACGAATAGAGCTACAAACGCTGGTTATTGGAAAGCCACGGGAAAAGACCGAAAAGTGATGTGCCAATCTTCTTTGGCAGGGTATCGTAAGACGCTCGTTTTTTATCGTGGTCGAGCGCCTTTAGGTGATCGCACGGATTGGGTGATGCACGAGTATCGATTATGTGACGATGTTTCTGGAGGGACGCCAAGTTTTCAGGTAAAAATTTCAAGAAACTTACGTTTTTAATTATTTTAATTAACAATTTTATGTCGTTAAACACAACTCAGTTGATTCCATGGTGGTATACTTGCACAAATAAGTGGGGGTGTGAGTCTAGTTGCCACAGTGTGTGAGTTACAATTCCTTTGGAGATTGGGCTCCTTGTGGCACTGGCCAGTCACTTAGTGGGCCGAAAATGGTAAAGAATTGTAAGCTGCAGGGATCGAAAACCATAAACAATAAATCATTAATCATAATGATGAAAATAACAATGAATTACGAATCATAGGGACGAAAACTGCAATTTTTTGTACCACAGGGACAAAAATCACAATATTTGACAAACCACACGGAGAAAAAACGTAATTTACTCTTCTTTTAATTAACAATTTTATGCGACTTGGTTCTAAGGCGGTATACTTGCACAAATGAGCGAGGGTTTGAGCCTGGGCTACTGTAGTGAGTGAGTTACAATTCCTTTGGGGATTGGGCTCTTTGTGGGCATTGGGCTCTTAGCGGGCTACTCTGTACCAGATTTGACTCTCATATGATACCTTTGAGATGGGCCGGCTTGAGGGATTGGCGGCTACAAAAAACAATTTTAGTCAAAGTTTTGTAGTAACAAGTCTAATTACAACGTGATTTCGCAGGGACCGTTTGCTTTGTGCCGTGTGACGAAAAAGAACGAGTTGAAAACGAGCTATGTCACTCGTGAAACAAAAGCCAAAGAAGTTGGAAGTGGTTATAACGGAGATATTAACGAGTCGGTGGTTATTCGAACAAGTGTACGTATGGGTGAAGAGAGTAATTTATCAAGTCCTCTCACATCTTATGAGAAGACGTCTACGTTTTCTGACGAACCAACGTCATCAACAGGCCTCAACAATCCTTCGAGCTTTTGGGTCTCGCCCGATTTGATTCTCGATTCTTCGAAGGTATTGGTTATATATCTTATCATTCAATTCTTGAACAACCAACTACACTTTGGTACATTTACGAAATAATCCAGTCCCACGATGGTTAGACACAGACTATCAAACTTGTATATACATATATATATATACACACACACACACATAGGGGCTAGTTTAAATGAGAACCGTAAATATTTTAAGAACCTAAGAACCAACTATTTATTTATTATTTATGATGAATGTTGTGATAGAGAGTTATCATGAAAATTATTCATAATGATAATATATGATATTCATAATGAATAATATTGATGAATATTTAAGGTTATTTGTAAATAATAACATGAAATAGTGTGTTATGGTGTTCTCAAATAATATATAGTTGTCATTTTGAACCTATATATATACACTTGGGATCATGTGAGACCAAGGGTTTTTCGTGAGACCCATAAGACCAATTCTCAACATTTGGATTAAATCTACAACCGTCAGATCTGAACATTCATAAACGCCGCGAGACTTCTCAATAATCACAAAATTGCCACCGTGCAACTTTAGGCCGTTAGATCATGAACTTATAAAGTTGATCAATTAATATAAATTGGTCTTACGGGTTTCACGAAAACCCATTGGTCTCACGTGAACCCAACCCTATATATATATATATATATATATATGTGGGTGGGTGTGTATATAAACATCTCCTAAACTTTATAAGTGCTCTTTTAGAGAAAGATTTAAAGGCGTTCTGATATCTTCACATTGTATGAGAACTGGGGTCTCGCAACACATGTTGGAGTCCCACCTCAACTTAAAGCTAACCGTCGAACTTGTGTGTGTGTGTGTGTATATATATATATATATATATATATATATGCATATGTATATGTATATGTATGTATATAGGAGTATTCCCTCTATCTCGCAACATTCCAACATGATCTTCGTGACAATGCAGGAACAATCAAAAGTACCCGAAGGATCATTCGGGTGTTTCACACCAAACAAGATTCCAAATCCAACGAGTCCATGGCAACCATATCACCAATTCGAGATTTCACCAAGTTCATCGTACTCGAATTTTACAGAGGAAGTTGAACCCATTGATGATCTAAGTCGATTTGGCTACATGTCACCATATTCAGGAAACGAAAGCTTTACAAGAATCTTCGAAAACAAAGATTTTCCATACGAGTTCTAAAGAGGAATTTGAACCTCCAAAAACACACAAAAAAATGGATTTTACGACATTCCTAATACGTTTTAAAGTTGTTGGTTTGTACTTGTCGTTTGTTGGTTTATAGTAGAATACAAAAACAACCCTTGAGCGACGACCACTTTTATCGATCCTCGCTAGGAGTTGATGTAATTGTTGCTTGTATAAGTCTCTTCTTTCATGGAAGCCATCTACTGCGAAATATTATCTTTTTGCTTTAAAAGGCATTTCTCTTATTCTTACTTAGAGGCGTTTGTAGTGCGATATAATGCATGTTGAGCATGCAGTTTGAGCTTTTTGCAAAACTGCAAAAAACTGATGTTCAATCTATAATATGAGACAGTTTAAACTTGTAGAATTAAAGTGGACTAAGATCAGATCAGATCAAATATAATTACGAATAAAAKGGGAAACAGTACGAGAGTTTACAAATTTAATGGATGGTAACTGACAACCTAATAATCTAAATCAATTATGGATCTAATTTAAGAATCGGGTGTTGTTACAATCCTCAAAAGAATAATTGTATCAGTAGTAACTCCAATATCGACTTCCAAGAGATTATCACCCAAAAATGCCTCTACTGGCAAATACCGCTCCACTCAAGCCTTTGGAGGCCTACCGCTAAGGAAACCTGATATACATGTCATGTATATGGTTTTGTAAGAGTATATGAAGAACTCACAATAACAGGTTTTGGCGGAAACCTAGAAAATCAAGGATACCCTAGAAAACTGAGAATAGCTTGGATGTTTGGTTCCACCCTCGAAGTTTCCTTCCAAACTCCTTGCTAACCCCAAACACAAGTCCGGGTGGCTGTAAAGGCGGCTTAGGTCGTGTGGCCCCTAAGTCGCCCGGCCCCTGAACTTGGTCACAATGCCTTCCATTCGGCCTCCTTTGGTCGCCCGTCCTACAATCGGCAGCACATGCTGCTTGTTTTCAGCCCAAGACCGAGCGCCTTAAAATAGAATTCAATTCCAAATATTACCAAACCCAGCAAACCAAACAGGCCCTTAAAAGTACCAGATACGGGGATTCTAAAAGATCAGTAGTTTACACCGAAGAAAATCTTAAACAATCCCATGTATTTTGTGCAATAAAAGGGTTTCCACTACCCTTCAAAGCATCTTCATTGTACCAGCCCCACTGCCCCACAATCATCATGAAGGATAACGATGTACCAGTCTCTGTAGTTTAGAAATTACGATTTTCGTCCCTATAATTTATAACTTACTGTTATTTCCATCCCTTAGCCAAACTCCTTTCAAGTACAAAGGACTAAAAAAGCAAAGAATTGTAAACCACAAGGACAACAACAACAAATTACAAATTCTAAGAACGAAAACAACAATAAATTACAAATCATAGACACGAAAATATAATTTTTTACAAACCACATTTTTAACACCAAACAACCTATCTATAAATAGCAGTTATGCCGCTACTTTTTTCCGTTCAAAATGCGGTCATTTAGCAGTCAATGTGCCACTAATCACATAACCGCTAGCAAAGACTTTCTCCTTAGGCGCATGCGAACCGGTCTCAGGCCAAGCCTGACCTTGAATTTTCGTAAAAAGCATAATCGATCCTGGACCGTCGGTCCATAACCAGTCCTTACGGTTCCTGGTCCCGAACGGTCCGGGGGCCAAGCCGAGCACATTTTCGCCATAGGTGGGGTCAACAACCCTCATGTATTTTTCCCAACATATAAAAATGAAAACACTTGCAACACAACATTAAGAAAACCCTAAGTTAGTTTTTTTACTTTTAGGGCCCTGAAAAAAAAACTTCACAAGTTTTTGGAGCATAGTTTCCACATTATTTATGCACACAGTCTATCATGCTGCATGAAAAACATCTATTGTATGTAGTTCATAAGTTCAAAAACAACAACTTTACCAGATTCATACCTGTAACGATCAGCGATTAAGAACTCGCGCCAAAAACACGAATCCTCTGCTCAATCGGGACCCGGCAAGTCGGGCATTTCGCCTTCCCTTTCTTCCCATACGCATCGTTGCAACTCACACAAAGAACTTGATGGGCACACGGCAAGAAAACAACCGAAACTTCATCTTTTAAGCAAAGTATGCAAGCACGATCAATCCCGTCATCAGAGTCGTCCAATTCATGAAGCATTCTTGCGATAGTTTCACCACCGTGAGGGTGGGACACGTACGGACTCACAGGTGTTGGGAGGTAGGTTGAGTACTGATCTGGGTCGGTGGAGGTTTTGATGCGTGCCAGTTCCTGTTCGAGTCTTTGGAGGTCGTCTTTGTAACGTTGGAAGTCCAGCTCGATGTTTGAGCGAAGAGCCTCGTGTCGTCTCTTGATGTTTGCTTCGGCTGCTTCTTTCAGACGCCTTTCTTCTTCAACTTGTGTAAGGGCAAGGTCTCTAGCTTTCTGCTCCCGCCTCAATCCTGCCTGTTTGAAGAAATTAAGATAAAAAAATGCATCAAGATTTGTAAATCACCATAAATGTGACGGTGGACCGCTTTACGATCCAAGAAATTTAAAACCAAACCAAACGAGCCCAGTATAACCCACCTGGTGGGTGGGGTTTGAGGAGAGGGTAAGATGTATGCAGACCTTACGTCTACCTCAAAAAGTAGAGTGGATGTTTTCATAAGACCTCGGCTTGTGAAAAGTGCGCAAAAGTGAGAAATGGGTATATGCTTAAATTTAGAAAAAATGGATATAAGTAAGCAATAGGCACCATAAAATTTAACTACCAACTAAGGGTCTGTTTGTTAGCAGCTTAACGAGCTTAATGGGACTCACAGCTTATTCAATCAGCTATATATGACTGTTTGGTAGTGACTCAATGATATAGAAAGTGGCTTTTCAATAAGCTTCTACGGGGGAGCTTTATGCAAAAAGCCAAGTTTTTTCCAAACCTGCCCCTCCCAGTTAAAAAACATGCTCCTTCCGTCTATGAAAAACCCTCCCAAACAAAAATCTTCCCAATCTATACAGTAGATTAATCCACACAGACAACTTCATCCATACAAAGACTTGATAGAAAACCAACCACACAGCCCCTAAGCATCCTCATTTCTGCAACTCCCGTCTTCCTCCCATGGGACCTTCTCACACAATACCCTCGTGGCAACTCTCCATTTTAGTCGCACTGTCTTTATGCAATATATGAGTTATGTCATCCTCGACCACCCCCCCTTTCTGAAAAATGGAACCTAGAACTATCCTTTTGGGGTACCCTTTGACCCCCAAAGGTTGACTTCCATCCCCTCGTCTATTCACTCCAAACTGAAATTGCACCATAAGTATTTGGTCTTAGAGTGGACAATGCATACGCTCACCAGAGCCGCCAACAGTCTCTTGCAATCCAAGTAATTTGTAACAGAAAAATGATCAAGATGTAGAAACAATGCACAAGAAAAGGTAAGAACTTGATAGAAAATACTCGAGTATTCACAAGATCCAAAAGGGTACTCCATTTTTTTATATTCTCCTTTTCCTAGAACAAGAAAATAAAGAAAAACTTCCCATTTCTAAAGATATAACATAATGGGTTCCACTGTCCAAGGTATTAAAAGAGAAAAAAATATATATGCTAGTGGGATGAATATAGAAGTCATAGGGAAGTATCAGAAATTAGTAACGATAGATACTAGTAGGATCAACAAGTCAAAAATTGGAGATATTAACCACGACCAGAAGCATGTCATCGTGAGATACCATCTTCAGAAATCACAAGCTGAATCAAGGAATATGGTCACAGAGACTACCGAAATCAAGAGACAAGTGGCAAATCAGGACCTTATTGCAATAGTGGATGGGCAAACTGAAACTGTCATGATTCAGAAACTTTACGCGAATTGGATGCTATTAGGGTCATGAATCAGAAAACCTTGATGCAAATCAGAGAGAATCTCAAAAGTCAGTTGCAATTTGGGGCTCTTGGGGCGGCGACTAGGGTTTTGATGATGATGGCAACTAGGGTTTCAGAACAAATGAGGCGGAAAATCTATTTCATTATTATGCAAAAAATGATTTAAATATATAACACCACGACAAAAAGGAAAACATTAAAAACCTACCAAGATAAGTACTCTAACCAAACTAGGATTAGGACTCATTTAACACTACCCAACTATCTTCATGTGTTGTCTTAGCAGTAGGATGATGTGCATCCATAACGGAGGTCCCTGGTTCACATCAGGGAACCGCCACTTCCTGCTGACTCGCAGTGATTTACATCTCAGGTGATGGCGGTAAGACCTGTGCGGTGGGGGCTACAGAGGGTGGCGACTACCCTTTCTTAACCGCTACCAAACTAGTCCTTGTGTATTAATTGTTAAAAGTTGCTATATTTGTGTGCCTTACGCCTCCTCTTTACTTCCATCTATTGCATAGGACTTGTTTCCATTTTTACCATGTGTGGCTAACAGAAGCATTGTCATTCGACTTCGGTGTATCTATGTCAAAATTTTAGTAAGTTCAAAGAAATACGCATCATACATTACTTCTCTAATAAATTAACCACCAATAAGATCAAATGAAAATATAAACTTGGGCATAAATTATGTCCAAGAGTGTCATTTACAACTAAAAATGTCTGAGTTGTTTCTGAAATATAAAGACTACCCTCTCTGCTTTATCTTGATTGTAAATCTATTTAACTTCAAAAATAATAAAAAAATTCTATAATTTTGTTTAGTTATAAAAATAATGCTGATACGATCACAGGTTATTGTTATTCTGCAAGATCAGTGTTGTTAGCTTTCCAAGTTTTGGTTTTAGAATTGTAGAATTACTGATTAATGATCTACAGTTCTACTTTACGACATTAATAGTCAAAACCCTTCACTGTTTACTGTTATGAACATGGAAACATACTAGAACTTATGAAAGAAGTGTGGCATAATCAGTATAAAGATATGGCATTTGAAATAAAAACTTCCTAGGAAAAAAGGATGAACTGTTCTATGCTCTAAAGAAGCGATCTCTCTCAAATGGGTATCATTCGAAATCATCTATAAAAACTTAATTTGTATAACGAACACCATAAAAGAGATGAAAATGAAACCCAAAAATATAAAGTCTATTTGCAAAGTATCCATTATTTGCATGGATTGCCCACAAATTACTTGTTAAACTAGGAAACTGTTATAAAAAGCATGTTTAAGTGCTTGTGTAGGTGTGGGACGACTCTGAGGGCCTGTTTGGAGCACCTTAATGAACTTAATGGGACTTGGAGCTTATTTCGGTCAGTTATATATGTTTGTTTGGTAGTGGCTCAATGAAATAGGAAGTATCTTATTCAGTAAGCTTCTAGGGGGAGCTTTATGCAGAACGCCAAGTTTTTTTTTCCAAACCTGCCCCTCCCAATTAAAAAAACACGCTCATTTCGTCTTTGAAAAATCCCTTCCCAAAGAGTAGGTGACTAGGTGCTAGTACACCACATAAACTAAAAACACAAGGGAAACTAGAGGGATGATCTCAAACATAAATTTATAAAATGTATCTCAGGTCTTCTTTATTAGTATGTTCTTTTATGGAGATATCTAACCAAACGAGCCCAGTATATCCCACCCAAAGGTGGGGTGGGGGTAAGATGTATAGAGACCCGACCTCTACCCAAAGAGTAAAGCAATTGTTTCCTTGAAGACCCCGGCTAGTGAAAAGTGGGGAAAGAGAAAAAGGCGGATAAGATAAAGTTGAAAAGCTAATTCAGAGTAAGTAATAACATAAAAATAGAAGCCAGTACAAGAAAAACACAACCAAGTTAAAGAAGCTACACACCCTTAGTCTAACTTAGAGATCTAATAACCTAAATAACCACTCACTAATCCTATCCCCACCTTCTACCCAAGGTTTTAAAAGGCGGAACCGAGACGAGGCGTTTTCCCTCAAAGAAGCAACTGTAAGCCTCGAGGCGGCCCGATGCGGGAATACGTATATACACCAAAAGATGCATATATACTACACAAATATTACACATTTGTGTGTGTATATATTATATATAATACTAAATTACTAAGAGGCGTTGGTTCAATGGTTCTTGACAGAGGAAAGAGTGAAACTATGAGATAGATTGAGAGGGTGTGGAAAAATGGTTGCTTGGAGGAAGAGGAAGGGTCAAACCACATTTTTTTATTAAGAAGAGAAAGTACTAGTTTTTCGGGTTTTAAAATATTAAAATTACACATTGGGGCCATTGGGCTATGACTTTTAGTTCTTTAAAATAGAAAAAGACTCTTATACTATAAAGAGAAGTCCTTTTACTACCATAAAGCTTATAAAGAGTCGAAAAACACAGTACCAAAGCAGATCACTGAGGCGTACGCCTTGACACAGCCTCATGCCTTACTCCTCACCAAACCGCCTCACTGGACCAAGACATAAACCTCGTCCGGGGTCCACGAGACATTGCCTCAGGTGCGGTTTTTGGCCGCCTCACCTTGAGGCGTGCCTTGAGGCATAAGTCTCGAACGACTTTTAAAACCATGCATCTACCTCTCCAGCTCCCCAGTTTGCTACCATTGCCCTGCATCTTAGATTTCATGTGCTTGGAAATGACTAAAGCATCATGCCCAACCTCAATTGTTCATCCCATGTCCTCCTCAGCCTACCCCTCCTCCTCGCCCTCTCGACCGCGACACACTCTATTATCCTCCTCATTGGAGCCGTCATTTGTCTCCTATGATCCTGAGCAAACCACCGCAATCTTCCTTCCTCTAACTTATCTATGCCCAACACGAAGACCTTGTCCGGTGTCTTAGTCAAACATGATTCTACCACAAGCCCATCTAAGCAACCTCAATTTTGCCACTTCTGTTTTCTTCTCATGGACCTTCTTTATCTCCCAACATTCCGAACAATACAACATAGCTAGTCTAATAACTAGCTTGTTAGAGGGACCCATTTAACACATAGCACCCCATGATAGCTTTACACCTTAGCCAAGATATCCTCGACCTCGACCTCAACCTCCCCCCCCCCACACCCCAACCCCATCTATTGAATCAAGGAACCAAGATACTTGAAGCTACCCTTTTGGGATACACTATGCCCGCCCAATGTTGATTTCCACCCCTAGTCGATACATTCCTCACTGAAATTGCATCATAAGTATACGGTTTTAGAAAGGCTAATGCATAGTATATGAATCAATTATGATTAATTGTTTTTTCAATGTTTTTTTGAAATTTTTACTTATGACGTATTTATGGTAATAATAAGAAGTTGATGTAAAGAAGTGGTTTATAATAGGACACATCTGATTGTTATACCTTATCATGCCTCGTTGACTTCAACCAATTAGTCTCCATTACAAGGTAGGGCGGGTGACAAAAGGCATAAATGAGTTCATGCGACAACATCCCTATGAAAAAGGAAATTTTCTCAAAGGGTTTTCTTAGGGGCTCAAGATATTGAAAGGATAGGGTCGATTTCCTATGTCTACTTATTCATTATCTAAAGTTACTTGTTGTTCACTACACCAAACACACAAGCTTTCAACAATTCAATTTTTTGGTGGCTTAGCATAGCAATGGGAAATTGATCCACTAAGTAACCTATTATTACACTTTGATATATTAAATCATTGGTTAAACAATGTGGTGGGAAGAGTAGTAAACCATATAATATTAATAAACCAAGATTACAAATTAATATCATATGTGTATATAGATAATCTAAGTTCCGTTATAGAGTTAATCGCCATTAGTTAGTTTCGTGGAGTCACATTTTGTCGTTAGCTTAAAGATATTGCCACATTTACAACATCAAGTACAACAATAAATGGAGGATTTCAAGTAAATTTTATGCAGATTCTTTTACCTTTTTAGTTGTATGCCTACTAACCTAAACTTCCACACGATATATATATATATATATATATATATATAATATTAAGATGTAAACATTGTTATTGAACTTTTAGATGGTAAAGCCTTGTATTCATGGAAATATTTGTTTCATTTCATTATTCCCTTATCGTCATAAACCCTAGGAACCTAGGTGCCTCTAACCCTTCTTGTGTCCCTATATATAGCCATATAGGGAGCTTTTCAAAGGTGCATGAACACATGCACCCCCATATAATAAATATCCCGTAATCCTTGACCATAAACACAACATATGGGAGGGGGAACATTGGTTATTTTTATAAACTAAGTCCACAAAAATCTTTTAATGTAACTTTAATCTTATGGATGCAATCGTACAAGGTGGCTAGAGACACAAAATTCTTTCCCGTTGATGGTAATATGAGCACAAATACAAACTCACATTTAGCTTGCTTGCTTGTTTCTTTTAGTTTTGTTTTGCATGTTGGGGCCTTCACAAAAACAGACTCTCTACATAGAGGCAAGGTTTGCATGCATCCTACCCCCAACCCTACCTTTGCCTTGAGATTTATTGGGTTAGTTTAGTTCAAGGTTTTAAAAAAAGGAATAGGGCCTGAAGGCCTTAGGCAGGGCGTAAGCCTAAAGGCCGTCCTAGGCATAGGCCCCTAGACAAAAAAAAATCCATTAAAAATAGATATAATATACTAACAAAAAAACAATATACATACACCATATATATATATATATAGGGTTGGGTTCACGTGAGACCAGGTTGTTTTCGTGAGACCACATTTTTACACTTGAAACTTCACAGCAAAAACATTGTGAAGGTTTAAAAAAATCGAACCTTCACAGCAAAAACATTGTGAAGGTTACCTTCACAGCATTTTGCTGTGAAGTTTCAAGTGTAAAAAGTTGGTCTCACGGGTCTCACGAAAACAGGCTAGTCTCACGTGATCCCAAATCTATATATATATATATATATATATATAAACATATAGAATTCATTAAATATATATAAGCAGAGAATTGAAACCATGAGATTGAAAACCATGGTTTGGTTTGGTTTGGTTTGGTTTGGTAATACAGGGACTCCAAGTAAAAGTGAAAGCACAAAATAACACAAATTCAACTAACCATTTGACATGCAACCATATTCCCACACCAATATCCTTTCAACATAGTATAAACCCATATTCTATATGTATCTTTGATATGAATTCAACGTAGATGTGTTATCAAATCACTTTGGTTAACTTGTTATAAATTTAAAAGTAATCATCAATATTGTTAACATAAAGAAAAGTTCGTTCCATCATCATTTGAGAATTGAAAGGTGGGACTTCCTTTTTGGAAAAAAAAACATATGTCAATGTTTTGAAAGGGAAGGAGTATCTAACACCATTTTAAGCAAACTCTTTTCTATATGGACACAAAATGAGAACAATTACTTTTACCTAAGATATTGTATAAACTCTTTCAATGTAAGAATGTTTGCGGAGAGAGAGCCTACTAGCCTAGATAACTACTACATTTACCCAGGTATGAACTTCAACTATTTTTGGGAATGCTTGTTGCCCTCAATTTCTTTCCGCTGTCATATATAAGATGTAATTCTACCATTGGTTTATCTCATTCAAACCATCATAGATTTTTTTAATTATTGATTTAGCAACATTTGATGTATTTGACAACCTCATACTTGTACCATTTGTGTTATCTTATATTTTGTAGCTCGTTCAACAAGCTTAACCTTATTAGTCATTTTGATTTCCGCTAATTCTTGATCTACTAAAATTTGCTAAAATTGGAAAACCGTGTAATTTTACCTTTTCTAGCTTGTTGAACTTGCATAAACCCCTAGTAGAGTTGTGGCATGTGCTTTTTGCACAATTTTGTAGTATGTAGTTAGATATTATGCTATAACCACCTACGATTATACCATAGATGCATCCACATGGCACCAATGACTTGAAACCACGTATAAAGGTCCAATCAATCTACATCTCCTTCATATCATTAATGCAGAGTTTGGCACTATGTGATTATCTATAAATGCGTAGGGTTGGCCCAAGCATGTTAGATTTGTTCGGTTAGTGGATGATGACACATTCCCCAGCATCGCATCTTACTTCAATTGTGTTGTGCATATGGATATGCAGCTCAACGTATATAATTGTTTTACTCTTATTTGTTGTCTATGTGACATTGGTATGCATCTATCTTTGCGACGTGTTTGGAGATTGGTAAGAAATAACCATAGCTTCTTTTGACTTAGGCTTCAAATGTATCTACAATTTCTCTTTGGGGTTTGCTGTTCCATTTTGTTCATGTAACTATGTCAATCTCATACTTGTTTATATCACTATGGTTTTGAGGGTCTTGCTTCTTAGCAAGGCAAACCTTTAAGTTGAGTATCAAACGTTTTAGAGTTTGATGACGATGTCATGGGATATTCAAAATGGAGTAATGATGGAATCCCGAAAGGTATACTCAAACCAACGAGAAGGAAGACAAACAAATTGGAAAAAGCAACATTGATGGTTATAAACTGATAGTAGAAAGAACATGAGGAGGTTTTGAACTAATTCAAGCCATTTATTAGTTGCTTCAAGATGTTTTCATCCACCCGAATTAAAAAAAGCTTTCTTCATCGTTCTTCAAGCAATGAAATGACCAATACACAAAGAGATTCCCCAAGAACTTGCCCTAAAGCTAAATTTACTAATCAAATGTCAATGTAGATAGGTCATAGGACTTCTATACAAGTCCTTCCGCACCATCTTTGGTTGTGAATTGAATGAATACAAGGATGGATAAAAAAAATGAACCTAAAGAGCAATTTAGGATAAAGGAACGGAAAAACTTTGTGGTTGCATTTATGCATTGCTCAAACTTGTGACGCCTCCTACATTATCATATCGACAATCACACACTATTATTACCCATATGATACTTGGCCCACATGTGATCTCCATCAACCGTCGTAATCACCATAGCATCAATTTAGATTTTGGGATTCAAGTTATAACTAAAACATCTTACGTGGCGTTTGGTTTGCAAAATGTTTTTTGAAGGAATTGAATTTGTCAAAGGAATTGGAATTTGAAGCAATGGAATGAAATTTGACGATGTTTGACCACATGTTTGGTTGACATGATTAGAATGGAATTTAACCGGGTGTGACCAACACGTGTGGTTGATAGGAACTGGAACGGAATCTTTTGAAGGAGTTGGACAACGTCTAATTAGTTTGCAGAACGTAGCTTTGAAGTTGGAATGGAATAATGATAAATTTCAATGAATGCATTCCCTATCGATGATCTTGAATCGGATCAATATCATGACATTTTCTCATATAAAATGGCATTAACCTCCCCATTGCGTATTGGTACTTATCCAATATAGAATAATCTGCTTCTCTTTGTTCTTACGAACAAAATTGTTGCATAAATGGTTCGTAGAGGGGAGGTCGAACAAGGTATATGGAATTGAATGGCGATAAATTATGACCAAAATACCATTTTTTTTAAATATTTTCGTTAAATTACCATTTAATGTGTACAATTATGTACATTACCATTTATTAAGAATTGGATATCTTGTGTTTTATGATGTAACGAACAAGAGATTATGTAAGTAACAACATAGAAATAGTAAGATATAAAGGAGATTATGCAATTATTGTGACAACAGATCATGGTTGAATTACTAAAATCACTCTGGCCTAGATGTTCTCAAAATTTGCTCCCCATCCCTATGATTCACAGATGAGCTATCGACTGAGATTCCATTGTTAACAATAATAAATTGATTAACAGCCTTCACAAACTTAAGGTAGAGATCAGCAAGAGCAGAACCAAGAAGCAGAAGAGAAGTAGAGACCAGCGATGAGACTGAAGGTAGAGACCAGCAGAGACCATGGATTGCAGGAAGAGACCCTTCAATTGATTAGGTTTATGAGGGTAGCATTGTCTTTTGGAATAGATTGCAAGGAATGGATTTGAATTGTTCTGCCAAACCCAAGGATTGAACAAATCACCCCACCTGGTGGAGTTCAAAAAAATTTATAAGGATTCCTATTCCTTTCAAAAATAAACCAAAGGAAAGGAACTGAATATTCCAATTCCATGGACCAAACAGCACGTTAGTTCATTTGTCTCTATTGTGGCAAGTCTTTATCTACTATTTACATATAAAAAAGCCAATTGGGAAAGACATGATCGACTTCATCCATGTGCTGCCCAACTTGGGCATAGACTCAAGCATCTCCTCAACTCCATACACTCTTGAAACTATGAAAAACTGTGTAAAAAGAATGACAAAGAAAGCAAGAGTATAAAAAATAGGACATAGATATCAATAGTAGGTGATCACAACATCATCAATGTGATATACTCAGCACCTGTGATGACATATCTTAAGAACAAAAAAAATCAAAATAAGAAAGTAGAAGAAGGATTAAAATAATTTATTAACATATTATATCCAATAATATTAACCAAATAAACAGACCATACCTCGGCAGTCTTCTTAGCTGCTTCCGCTTGGAGCAATTCTTCTTGAAACTCTATGATCTTCTGTTTCTCAGCTGTAAGATCCTCTTGCAGTTTGGCCCGCTGTTTCTCCCATGCCAAGAGCCTCTTCAGATACTTCTTCTCCCTCCTCGCAACTTCCAAACACATAGTCACAGACTCCGATGCACTCAACTTTGAGGCCTCCATCTCTGCTCTGATCTCAGCATTCTCTACTTCTAGACGTCTAACAGCTAAATTTGCACGGTCCACTTGGCCACTCGCTTTCCTCAAAGCATTCTCCATCTCTGAAAGCCTCTTCATGGTGGGGTCCTCAGTAGCTGGCTTTCCCTGCTTAAGTCGTTGATTGTCCTCCTTTTCCATCCTCAACATCTTCAACTCGGTGAGATCATGACAGAGCTTTCTTGCTGCTTGCATCGCCTTCTGATGGGCCCAATCCTTCCTTTCCTTTACTAGTTTTTCAAGTTCCTTAATTTCACGTATTACACCCAAAAGCATATCGTCTGTTTTAGCCTCATCTATGATTTGTCCATTTTCTTCAAGACTCAGCTCACAGAATTTCTTCCACATCAAGTTAGCCTTTTCTTTATTCCTCACCCCCTGGGTTCCCAAATTTTCCTCTGCAGGAGGACAAGCTTCACTTCCTGTGTCAACTGCACTTGATGAATCTCCACTGGACAAAGAGTTTGAACCAGCTTCTGATTCCACTTGTTTCCTTTTCTGATTTGCTCTGTATTCCTTGGCAAACAGAGCTACATTAGTTTTCAAAATCATATTCATGGTAGGAGTGAGCACTGGCCATTTTGGATATGCAATTTTGGTTCGCAAAGTCTCTTCCAACTCAGCAGGAGAAAGAGGTCGATTTACTGGGAATTCAGATGTACCTCTATTCCCAAAGCCCCAACCGCCATGAAACTTGCACGAATCCGGAGTCACCCCAATTGAATCATCTTTAACCTTCTCCATGTCGTTCACGACAGGACTACTTATCTCACTGTTACTAATACCATCAACATTAGGTTTTGGATCAACAGGGACTTCCATCGTGCTGGCACGACCAACATGAAGATCAGCCATGAGCAAACACCACATTGCATCCCCTCTACTCAAACTTGGCCTCACCCGTCTCAGCAAACACACCAGACAAGCCATTGAAAAATCTCTCAACTGCGTTAAATTAGAGAAAACCTGCTTGGACTCATCTAAATTACCCCCAATGTCACTAGCCTGACTATTCAAATAACCCATGGTATTATTCATAACGTTAGTCAATGCATCATGGTTACCGTAACAATGCCCATTCCTCAGTATAGCTTTTAAAGCAACATCCTCGTCATAACCCAATCCAACAAACTTTGCAATAGCCTCATTATACAATGACTCCAACTTGTTCATCAAAAGCTCTTCTAATTTCTCTTCCGTACAATATCCCCAATCACTACCACCAGGATTAGGGTTTGAATCAGGGTTCTCCGCTGGTTCATTAAACCCCAATTGTAAACCCTCCGGATTCGAACTAGAATCGCTATCTAAAGATTTTTCCGTTACATCGGAATCAGGATTCGTAGGCCGAGGCCTCCGATCGGAACGAACAAGATTTTCTCGAACAGTAGTACCCATTAAATCCTACAAAAATGACATTCAAATTTTGATACAAAGATTTCATTTTTAATCAACAAGATCATACAATTCATGCAATCAGAATATAGAAAAGATCAAATTGAGCAAGCTTACCATTGAATTTCGACGATCGATCACTGATGGTTCTAGAATTCAAAGAAGAGAGCATGCACAATGCTACGAAACGGACACAATTGAGAAGCATGAAATGGGGGCGTTTTTTATTGCAGGTGGCGAAGGGTGAATTCTTTTTCCAGAGCAATAGTTTACTTAATTCAGAACATCATTGTTTTAATAACTTGTAATGCATGCAGTAAAACATGTACGTTTATTGGATTTAGTGAATTTGACTCTGGAGGAAACAAAAGCCCAATAAAGCCTATCATATTTATGGGCCTTGAAAACAGAAAATGAGCCCTGTAGCTCACTAACCCACTTAATTATTTTTAGTTTTAGTACAAATTTTTAAGTAAATTACACTTTTGGTCCCTGTATTGTGGTTGTCGTTTATTATCGACTCTCGTTCTGATTTAAATTAATTACAGTTTTGATCGTTGTTATTGTCGTTATGTTTCATATTGTATTAGGCGAACGATCATGTAAGAAATGAAGTTATGATGAGAATCATAAGAAAATATATGAACCATTGATCTCTTTTAATCTCATGCACCCATGAATTGCTCTTTAAAAGATAATTGATCTGGTATATCTTGATGTACCTGATTAGTATTGACATTCAATTAAGATTGATCCAGTAATGGATACCTCTTCTTATGCTTCTCATAATAATTTCTCTTCTTACCGAAACCTAATCCTATTACATTATATATATATATAACATTATCATATTATATTATATTTTTTCCAAACGATTATTATATTACTATATTATATTTAATATTGATATTAATTTATTATTATTTTTTCTGAAACGATTATTATATTATATTTAATATTATTATATTATATTATGCAATATAATATTTAATATTATTATATCTATACTATATTATAAAATATTTAACAAAAAAATTTAAAAACTATTTTTTATACTTGAAATACTGTTTATTGATTCATATTATTTAAAATTCAAGATTACAAATAAACTGTACATAAATACAATTTGTTAAAGCTTCGTGTTTGAATTCATGTAACTAACTGTAAATAAACATAAGTAAATACAAGATAAAAATTTTATTTTAAATATAAAAAATCTAAAATATAATTAAAATAATTATTGAATTATAACATAATAATTAATTATTATCTTTATAAAAAATTATATTATTAAATTAAAATAAATTACTTCGTTATTAAATCCAAATTAAATTATAATAAAAAAACTGAATTAAAAAAATTACACAAAAAACATGAACTTTTAAATAGTTAATTACTACTAATATTGATATAGTGATGTGTGTCCGAAATTCACTGATCAATTCTTCATATCTTCATAATCATGATGGCAGATTCATATATTGCATTCAAGAACACTTAAGAACATTGAGAGAGAAAGTCAAACATATAAGCTCTGGTCAAACTCTCAATTATGAATGTAATCTTACAATTAAGCTCTTCTTTCCATCTAATTACAAAGATTAGCTACCTATTTATATGGTCAAACCTACTTAACAAAGTCAAAGTCAAACCACTAAAGAAAAGTCAAACACGCTGACTTTTTACAATTAGACTATTTATAAACTTTCAAGACGAATACAATTAATACTGATTTCTCAGTCCTAACAAGTGATTTTCGAAATTTTATGATATCTTCAAATTTGTATTTTATTCAAAAATAAAAACATTATCTTTTTTCTGAAAACCACATAAAAACCGTATTATAACATCTCCAAAGAAGGAATAAAATGAAATATTAAAATCAAGATATATCTCGTTGTATTGTACGAACACTTTTCTAGTTATACTTAATAGGAAAAATTGCACCAAAATGGAACCAACTTTCACCTTATTTCTATTTTGGGGAACCAACTTTCAAAATCGTCATTTTGGGGAACCAACTTTCACTTGATTTTTATTTTGGGGAACCAACTTT